GGTGACTCCAGTGTTAAACTGCATGCAATAAAAGCCATATTTTATGACCCAAACTGATCATCTCAGATCCCAGCCATAATTTTTTTTTTTAATTTGCTTATTCTGGTTTTTGCAAATAGGAGCATTACAAAAGCAAGAAAGTTATTGTTAGACTTGTGAAGAACAATGGTTTGGCCTCAAGTGGAGCATTACATCCCGTTCTGGGTATCATGCTTTATGAATGATTCAAAGACAACAGAGAGAGCACAGAAAAGATTCACGAAGATGATTCCAGGGTGGGGAAACCTCACTCATGTGCAAAGATTCTTTGGAGAAGAGAAGTTTAGGAGGAGATAAATGTGGTGTTTCAAATCAGGTGGGGTCTAGACTGGATAGACAAGAAGAAATTATTCCCCTTTGGAAGGGTCAGAACAGTCATCTTTTTTGATCCTAAGAACAGGTTTGTACCTGATGGAACCACTGCCACTCCTTTGAAGTAGCATTGCAACAATCTAATGATTTATTGAAAGACAGAATCCTGGACCACTATCACATCCCATTGCAAACTTATGTCCTCAGTCATGATGGTAACCATCTCTGTTTACATGGCCAAAGGCTGATTCTGCACAATAACAGTCTCAGCTTCCATTGGATGGCTGAAATTTTGGGTGTATTCTGCTTGTTCTGCAACAGGGGCCATAACGTTAGCCATTAGTTGTCTCATGGTTGTATGCACAAGTGTGTTAATGGAATTGGCCACCATATTCATATTGAAAAGATTGAATGAAGCAATGTTGCAAAGCTCTATGCACAGCCCTGTGCCAAGTTAGTACCAGCCACTTCTGCACACCTTGATAGTGAACTTAAGTTTTCTTCCAAGCTTTCCAATACATCAGCCATCTTCAGTAGGTTTTCAAACAGGACAGCTCATCTAAGTCCTTTGATGAAGATCTTGAGTATGAATTCTCCCAGTGATGCTTTAGCAATTACCAGGGATATTCATGAAGGCTGTTCTATGCTCCTATTTCAGGGTACTATCAAATTTAGCCTCCATTATTCTTAATTGGCATGCAGACACCTGAGGCAACCTGTAATTCCTGAAATAAACACCAACTCTGCATAGATAAGACATGTCATATTGAACAAGCAAAATCAATTCAGTCTGAAAAAGTTTGAGGGATTATTGCCCAAAAAGGCTCTTTACTTTTTTTGTAATTTTTGTTGATGTTTTCCTTTATCACCCATACTGTTTGCTTACATTATTTCACATTTTTCTAACAATGGAGAAAGAGTTTTTCCTGCTTGATTTGTGCCACAATACTGTAATTGTATGGCTGAATGTATCTCTCGTGACTGTTTCTCATTTCGGTGCCAGAACACATTCTAGAGAAATATTTGATGAAGTTATTTTATGTTGTTACATGAGAAGAAACCAGAGACATTTTCCACAAGATTATTCATAATATTACTACGCAGAGAGGGATCAGAGCAGTTGCTCCCATTGAGAGATTCTGTGAATGCAGAACCATCTTGCTTCATCTTTCTGAAATCATCACTGTACTACTTTCCTTTAGCAAGAGGTATCCTCGGCATTAAGAATGCTACTTGTAGTCATTCTGGTCCTATGATTGAGCTTATCAACTGATATTATGGACTGAACACACAACTTAAAGAACACTATCATAAAATTATGTATTTATTGTGAAAAAGTAAATCTCTTCTTAACTACAGTCACTTGTCAACACTTTCAATGCCTGCCATTGCCACACCAAGTGTTACTGCATTAGTTTTGTTTCATGGCATCTGTACCCTGCTCACGTGTCGTAAAACACAATGCAACAGGACAGCAGAAGGATAATTATTAGGTAAGATGTTGACTCATCTACTAGGCCTTTGTAGCTTTGAAATAATTAAATCTAGATGATAATTGGACGATTTGTTTGGCACATCTCCACTCTGTCGTTGTCACCAGGTCTGCCACTAGTTGTTCCAATTTCGAGCTGTACGGATCTTTCCTCCTGTAAGGTTACACCTTCCCCTAGTTCAAGGCATTCTATAGTTTGTGTTTTTTTTTTCACTCTTAAAGGAAACCAGCTCTGTTATGATAATCACCGCAATAAAAATTTTCTCAAATTCATCTTCCCTCTCTTTGTAAGTGCCTCAGTTGATTCCCTTCTGGTGTTGCTGAAGTCATACAATCAAGTATTACAAATGCTGCCTTTTCACTCTGTGAGATTGTGCAATAGAATCCAGCACATCCCAACACACTGGCAATTATACAGTATTTAGTGTACTTGGTAATTGAGAACTTTATTTTTGCTAAATAATTGCATCCAGCTGTACTGTGGTAAGAAGTAGTTTAACCTCACAAGTTATCGGTCAGTTGCTTAACTTAAGCCTAACTGTTGATGTTACATACAGCAAAGTGGTTCAAAATGTAAGTTGATATGTGCCATCACACTTATAGGTCATTAATAATTTTTTTTTTAAATTCAATATTAATTTCAAATTGAATTATATTTTTGAGAGTTTACATTTTATTTTATACTTCCAAACAGTATTATTGGAAGAGAAAATACTGCTGGTGAGAAAATACTTTACATTGTTGCCAATTATTTAATGTCAACAGACTACTCACATTGCAAAACCAGATCTTTTCATAACAGTGTGTGTCTTTTTCATTACACCAGAGGTCTTAAAAAGATTTTAAAAATTTTCACACAAGATCATGAAGCATGTTTAGATAAAGAGGCTGTTCAACTTACTAGAATTCATCTTTCCATCCCAATAGCATGTAGCCATCTTGAATTAGTCCAGTATCCTGGTTGCAGTCATCATTCTGAAGGCTATAAGATCAGTTATGATCCCTCAAGTAAAACAAAACTAATTTTATGCATACTGTTCCATTTATCATTTAGGATATTTGAGCTCATGTCCAAACAATCAACAAAGCCCAAGGAGCATTTCAGCACTCTCTGTAACTATCTTAATCCAAAGAACAACAGTTGGCTTTGTCGTCAACATTGTCATTGTCTTGTGATCTGTGCATGGACCGGGCTCTTTGTCATAGAAAACTGAATATTTCAACTCGTTTCTTTTAAATAGTTGTATTTTATTTGTTTCTCCTAACTGCAATTTGTTTTTTCTAACAGACCAAATCAATGATACCTTATTCCACACCTGATTGACAAGCAATAAAAAGTAGAAAAGAAAGTGATAGACTTTAGGTTTTGGTGGGTAATTTGAAGAATATTGGCAGCATGTGCCACTAATGTGTGATTTGAAATCAGTCCAGTTTTTTTTTATAGTTATTATCCAAAAAGTGACATAAATAAAGTTCCTTTTTGCAATCAGTGCCATAAAAAATCTGTGAAGAAATGTGGAGGGAACAAATATTTTAGTCAAGAAGTGATCAAATTAGAAATCAAATTAGCTGTGCGCTAAAGATGATACTGTTTTGTGGGGTTATCTGCAACACCTTTTACATTGAGTGGTTTCATTGTGGTTCCAATTTCCAATCTAATCCAGTCATAAAATGAATTGCTTAATCATATAACTATCAAATCACGTTATGTCACATTGCATGACTGGAAATATATTGTCCTGACTCCTTGATTGTATAATCATAACTGCTAACCATTGTAGGAACATGGCATTTATGTATTCTCAACAGGGTCGCCATATGATATTGAATAGGGTATTCACATTCCACAAGTTTAGTACCAGGGAAAAACTGAAACCGAACAGGAATCAAGCTTGGCAGTTCAAACTGCCTCTAAAGTGGAGAAAATTCCCTGCTCCAGGAGGTCTTATTCCTTTTTGGTCTAATACAAGGATACAATTAGTCTGAAGAGGAGCAATGCATCTAAGTTGCAAAACAAAGTAATTATCAGAATTTCCCTTTGGATATCGTTGGAGTTATTTTAACCAACCTGTTCAGACATGTTATGACATACTTCCTGTGCAGGTGGGACTGGACCTTGTGGCTAAGAGCCCTCTTTATATTGTTGGATGCTGTTTTATTAACTGATCGATATAAACATCCTGGTAAAAATTATATGATTATGAGAGGCCAAGTGATGTTTCCTGTGAGGTGTGCAACCACAGAGCAGTGTAGCAAACTGAAATTTCCCAAATAGGCTGTGTGAAGTTGGCCATGTTAAGGTATTGTGCATTGTGTGACCCCCAACATAAAACACTCATGCAATGTAAAAAAATATTCTTTTAGATCCATGATGTGTTGTTGATTGAAGACAAAGGAAATAGAAGTGGGACAAGATTTAATAATTTGCTACCTATGTTACATCATCAAAGTCGAAGTCTGAACTACGAAAATTTTTAAATGAATCAGTGGAATTGAAAATATATTTATCTATAATGCATTTTTCTGTGTCACTTTTCTTCAAATATGCAGAATTGAGCAATATTTACTGAATCTAGAACCAGATTAATTCTGGAGGGATTGAGAAAGTAAGAAATAGATATAGAAATAGGCCATACATCTATTATGCCTGCCACATCCCTCACTAAGATCATGCTGAACTTTTACATCAACTCAATTTTTCCATCATATTTCCATATACTTTATTTCTCTTTGTGCCCCCAAAAAATCCGTTGATCCCAGTAATGAATATGTTTGATGACTGAGTGTCAACAGCCTCTGAGATATAGGATTCCGAAGATTTCAAAGTTTCTGAGTGAAAGAATTTCACCTTATCCCCATCCTAAGTGGTTGACCCCTTATCCTAAAATTATAAACCCTCATTCTAGACTCTCCAGCTACAGGAAAACAGTCTCTCTGCATCTAATTAGATTGATCATGCAAGTGAGTTTCTTCTTAATAGCTCCTGTATATTGTAGTGAAGCTACTACTTAATTTGTCCAGACATTGTACATGCATCCTAGACTACTGTACAACATAGCATCCCACTGGGAATTTGGGGAACATGAGCTATTATTGTAGCTTTTCAATATGTCATTTTTAAGTTTTCTTCACTCATCCACCCTTCTGTTTCTTGCAGAACCAGAGCAGACTGGCAGCCCAAGGCCTGCTATTGGCTCTGAAGCTGATGATAGCAAGACAGGAACAATTGGTGAGTATTGAGCTTGGTCATGTTTGTGCATGATTGTAAAGGTTCTTATGACGCAATGGTTGTCCCTATCTCTGGACCAGGAAGTCTGAGTTCAAATTCCACCTACTCCAGAGTTTTGTAAGAACATCTCTGAACATGCTGATTAGAAAACATCTACATTGATGATTGTGGTACTTCCTTCATTCTGTCAGTGTTATTGATGTATAGTGGTATTTCACAGCCTTGCAGCCTACTTCCCTCCCTCTCAATGTATCTATACATTCATTGGAATGTCCTTCTCATTCATTGTTCATTTTTCATTTGTGCTCACCAGTCAGTTCTGCTGAACTCAGATTTTGTTGCTTTGTTCTCTATCAGTGTACCATTCAGATAAATTTCAGATTTCATTCACCCAGATAGTGCACATATAAAATGGAGAACAAGTAATAAGATAATTTTTGTATACTGCTGTGCTGTCTACCATCAGAATACCAGATAAGTTGTCACTGTGATGAAATAGCAGATAAGACAAATGGCTCTTTACCAGTATTCTAAAATCATCTCTGCAAACTTTTAAATGAAATTTCAACCATTTATTTTCTCACTGACTGTAGCTATTCGTCAGCTAGTACACAATATTATTTTCATAGTTTCAGTCACATACAGGTGAAATCAAACCATGTTGATTGGAGGGTAGCTCACCTTCAGTTAAAACTTATGCACTAAAACAAACCACGCAGCAAGTCAGATTGTAGTAGTGTATTACAGTCTGAAGGAAAGGTAAGTATAATTGCCTGCTAAGGAAGTCATTGGTTAAAGGAAACTTCTTGGCACTTGTCTGTATTTATGAAACCTAAAACAGAGAGGTTGCTGCTACCTACTGCTTTCAAAAGAAGCAGAAGCCCTTTTACAGCCTGTGTTAGCACAAATCTGCACTGATAGCTATCTGAACCCGTTACAACGGTTCTTAGTTAAGGGCCCTAAGGATCTGTCATTCTGCAGTTACGGATATTACCCTCGACCACAAAGGAATATTTTGCCCACCAGCTTCTCCTGATTTTCCTTCTCTAGCTTTGCACATTGGATATGCATATAATTATAATTTAGGAGTTGTATTGCTGTTTATAGCAATATTTCATGTCAAGGTTCCAAATAATATCAGGTGACAGCAATCTTCTTGTTCCCTTTCATATGCAGCTATCCAATACCCAAGCATTTCACACCTGAAACAAGTGACCTGCTGTGAAAATCATTGGTGTTATGTATCACCTCTAATGTCACCAATCAGCTGGTTTTGCAACATTGGAGTTCAGTTTATAGGTAAATGGTCAAAGGTGTGAAATGTGTAAGGATAAATAAATTAGAGAACAAGGGAATTAGAATACTGGTGTCAGTTGACACCGTTTCACTTCAAAATACCAGGTACAAAAGCAAAATACTATAGATATGAGTAGTTAGGAAAAAAACAGAAAATGCTGGAAATATTCTCCACAGCAGGCAACCTCTGCAAAGAGAGGAATGCAAAATTAAAGTTATTAAATATTTATTAATTATTATTAAAAATTATTAGCTATATACTGCCTAATCTTTAATTGCAACTTAAGCATCTACCAGTCCCACAGGATGATAGATTTGCTGGGGTTTGCTGATTGTAAAACAACCACCATGTAGCTGCATGAGATATTCCCTTAACTACGCTGTACTTTCACCCATTCACAGCTGGGTCAAGTGGGCAGGGGAAATCTCTTTCTCAAGCTCAATTTAACAGGCTCAAAGTTGATAATCCACAACAGCTTTTACAGCACAATGTTTTTGCTCTGATTTATTAGCATTGCCATTGTATTAATACTGCCAAATCCAACATTTATCCCAGTAACTGAATTGAAGGCTGACCAATAAAAATTGGACATGCACTCACTTTGTCAGGAGAAGAAATCCAGATTTTGTAGCATTAATTGAAGCTAATGGATGCCAGTCTCCCAGAAACTAAACTAAAAGGATGAATAAAAAAGGTACTTGGGGAATAAAGTGGAATATGTGAGCTTGAATCTGCTGAAAGTTAAAACAGATGAAGTTAGAGGAGCTTTAATATTTTTCGACTTAAAGATGCTTTCATTTTCTTTGAGGGTGGTATTTATTTTGAGAATTGGCACCAAGCTAGGTGGATTCATAATACAGTTTTGGTGAGAGTCTGCCAAATAAGCCAAACGAGACAGGAATAAACCTATGCTAGGTCCAGCTTTTGCTGGAGTGGAATCTTTGAATATTTTGACATGGTAAAGGGTGCAGTATAACTATGCACTCTCTCTTTCCTTCATCATGTTAAACAATGAATGCATGTGAAGGGATATCAGCAGTCTATGTTCCTACATTAGAATCTTCTTTTGGGAACTAATGCAGGGACAGCACAAGTGTAAATAGTTAGGTCAGGTGCACTACAACCTGTCCGTGATTACAAGGCCAAACTTCAAATTCAGTCCGGGGTGGAAGCTTGGACCTCAGAGAGCTGACCACCTCTTAAAAAAGAAATGGAAGCATTTCCCTTTGTAGCGAGGCTGTAAAGAGATTTGTCCAGCTTTCTTCAGGATGGTAAGTGAGGAGGTAAGGCGTCAGGTGTGGTACGTTATCCAACAACTCCTAGTCAAGAGTTTTTTAGGAGTGCTCCAGCCTGCTAAAAACATTTAAATTCCAAGACCTCAGTGTGTAAACCTCTTATGGGATCGGAGGTGGAGGTTGGAGATGAATTCTTATGGGCTAGATCTTTCATTTTGACTACAGCATTGGTGTGAGTAGTGAAGCTTCAGTAGCAGTCTCACACAACTTTTGTTTTGAATTATTCACTTATTGGTGAAGAACATTTCCTCTGGTGAACATTAAATTATTTCTTTTTGCATAAATGTTAACATTTTAAATGGAAAGTTAATGATGTCAAGAGATAATGCATGAAGCATTCTATTCAGTTTGTATCCCATTAATTTTGTATTGTCCATCCAATGTCTTACTTTACCAAGAACTGCTTGGGTACTAAAATAACCATGAAACATTAGTCTGTTTCAGTTTTTTTAATCCCTGTGATCTTATTTTAAAACTCATCAAGATTAACTGAGACAAAAATAGAAATTTCTGGAAAAGCTCAGCAAGTCTGGCAGCATCTGTGGTGAGAAATTCATTAACGTTTCGGGTCGGATGACTATTCCTCAGAATGTTAACTCCGATTTCTTTCCACAGATGCTGCTCGGCATGCTGAGCTTTTCCAGCAACTTCTACTTTTGTCTCTGATTTACAGTATCCATAGTTCTTTTGGAGATTAGCTAAGCTGTTTCTAGCATGGTGCTTTCCTGCAACGCATTTCAAATTATGCATCTCAACAGTTAGATCAGAGTTAAGATATTAAAACAATAATAGATTGATCGAATCACTTAAATGAATGTCATTGATAATCAATTAGACTTGTAGACTGCCAGTCATACTTCTTCCATGTGATTATCTGTGAACTTGCTCTAATATTACCATTTGCTGGGTACAACACTAAATATTCGTCAAAGAAAGTACAGATGTCAGCGATTTGAGCCAAAAATAGAAAATGTTGGAAATGTGCCACAAGTCCGTCAAATTATATAGGGCAGCGGCCAAGTTAATGTTTCAGATGCTGACCCTTTGCTGGAAGTCAAAAACGTGGGGCCTGGATTTCCCACTCTGGTGCTTGCCTGCTTAGAACCTCCTGCTCATTCAGATTAATGGACATAAAGCCACACCAGGGCAGCATAGAGTGAAAAATCATGGTCAGAATATTGAGAAACGGCGCAGCCAGAATTTAATGACAGCTCATGAGACATATTATACCATACTGGAAGAAGAGACTGCTGAAATCTTAGCCTGATGTCTAAAAGTAGGACTTATTGACATTGCACAATCAGATGAAAAATAGGAACATGGTAATTTACAGGACCATTACTATCTTTCAAACTGGTTTCAATTAGTTACCAGTAACTCAGTAGTATTCATTAAAAGAACTGTGCCACATTAATTTAGTTTGAATTACCATTGTTACTTTCTTTTCATTTTCAAATTGGTCACCACCCACACGGCAGTACATATTTTATAGTTGATACTTAAGCTGACCCCTGGGTTTGAAATGATTTTTGTAGGCTTCAAAGGTTGACTTTTACGCTGTGATCATGAGATAGTTCTTTCAAAAGCCCAGCACATGCTGACTGATTGGCCACCTCTTGTGCTGGTTCTAATTCTGTCCCCGAGGTGGCATCTGACATTATGTGACATGTAAGCTGCTTTGGAAAAATCCTAATGTAATTCAGTCTAAAGTAAGAAACGTTTATTAATCTCCCTTTCCTCTGAAGCCACTGTGTTGCTTTACTTAAAATTAAAAAGGATTAAATAGAGTTACATTTTTTTGGTCACATTTATCGTGAAAGATGTGCATAGCATATTATTATGAACGCAGACGTGTTTAACAGTACCAACAAAATCTGTAATGTTGACCCAGACCTTCAGAGCTCTGCCTTAATACAATTATGTACAGCTATCCTTATTACCGAAGCTCCGTCAAAAATTCACTAGCCATTGGTTACAGGGTCTAAGCAGCAAAATTACACTCAGGCTAGTTGTTTTAACCACAGGGAGATACCCTGTGTGTTCTTTTCTGACAAAGCCATACCACATTTTATAAAGAATGAGTTTATAATTTCAGTACCAGTGGCAAAGAGGAAATTCCCATATATTGTTATAAATTCATCTCACTTGCTACTGTTCTGAAGACAGCTGAACAGTTTAAATTAAAAGCATATAATTAAGATGTGTACGTCACCCATTAAGATAGCTCTGACCAACCTTGCTATTTTCAGGTCAATTATTACTATTTTAAAGATTAGTGTAGTGTTTTATCTTGTAAGTCAAGAGGCAACTTTAACCAGAGACGTAAAATCATATTTAATGTTAAATCTGTTTCATTTGTTGGGCATCTTGCTTTGGATGCATGTTAAAGTTTAAAGCTTGACCTATCT